GGGTGGTTTAAAAAATAGTGGTACTGATAAGTCCCTCCTTCTGATCCTCCAACTGGGACAAGAGTCTATCTCAGCCTTCCCCAACCTTGGCCCTCCAGATGTTTTTGGCCTACAACTCCCATGATCCCTAAGTAGCAGGACCAGTGGTCAGGGATGATGGGAATTGTAGTCTCAAAACATTTGGAGGGTCGAGGTTGGGGGAGCTCTATCTCTTCATATCCCCTTCTCTCCTTGCTGAGTGCAACAAGGACTGCTGAGTGAATACGTGGTCTACGTCAAGCCACCATAACTTGTGACCTACTGGATGAAGCAGACACCAAAATCTGAAGGGTTTGCTGAGTCCCTGCCAAGGTATAGCTGGCAGGCTGTATTTAGCAGGGAGGATCCGCAGATCTCACCTGTGATTTTAAAGTTACCTATTCTGCGGTTGTTGTAGGAAGCAGGCTGCCATTTGTCAGATTAAATCTACGAAGAGCCATATCCTCTAGATGGCACCTTTGTGTAACAGATACAGTCAAGAGAATGTTCAGTTTGCAGCATTTTATTAGACATTTGGTGTTGCAGCATCCTCTGTCCTGAGCCAACACCAACAATACTTCCTAACTGGGGCATTAAAACAGCCTACTTGGATTTAGCGGATCATGCAGCCCACCAACAGTTCCTCAGTCATCCAGCTCAGGAGCAGGGGGGCAACCTTTAAGTAATCTCCTTGCTTTTTTTTTAATTTAAAAAAACAAATTTGTGTTGATTTTTAAACAAGTACAATGACTATTAAACACTTGCAGTTTCTAACCCATCCTTTTCTAGGGCAGGTGTGATGATGAAGAAACCTATTTGCAGTTTCCTTCCAAGACTTTCCCATATTTCCAGCTAACTTGAGGCAAGGTTTGGTTAACCTCTAGAAGGAGTCAAAATTGGTCATTTTCCCATGCAAGGAGAGCAATTAGCTGGGCACCCAGTTTAGTTCCCCAGCCTTGTTTCAAGCTGCTTTGTAGACTGGTCATCTCTCACCTTGAGCTCTTGGGAAGAAAATTGGGAGCTCAATGTAATAAAGAAAGAAATAGTAGTGCTTGAATCTGTTTTCAGTTCTTGAGCCCTTTGCGGCTGCAGTTTCTTGGAAGACTCCAGAGTGCTCTCCCTCCCCGCCCCCAGCCTGGAACTATTAAAACAAAGGAAATACATATTTATAGGTCAGGGGAAAATCAAAGCAATTAAGCCTTTAAAAAAATATTCAGGGTACTGTGTGCAAACTTTCAAATTCTCCTGAACTCTTCATCAGACTAGATGGTTTAACAACAACAACAACCAGCAAAAGGGGAAGGTGGCTGCTGGTGAAGCTGCCTGGACATATTGTAAGGCTATGCACATACTAACCCGTTTGTAACACAAACATGCAGTTTTTCTCAATCTGGAATCCTTCCTGTGTGTCCTCAGCAACCTGCTTTCAATCTTGATTCAGAGCTCATCCACACTTCTGCTTCTTCTGTGCCTAGAGGAAGCACAAGTCCAAGCGGTTTTCTACTCGACTCGCACTCTCTAGGCATGGATCCGAGCAGTTTCCCCTTTGCCTTGCTTCTTTGCCAAGGAAAACATGCTCTTTCGTTTTAAATGGGAAACCTGATTGCTGTTAGCTCCAATTGAGCACTAAAGAGCGGCTTTCCAGGGGGCAGGGAAGCAGCGGGACAAGATGACAGCACCCCGAAGAGTGTGGGGCAGAGGCATGGGGCCAGGAGAGTGACCCAGGAGAAGGGGCCAGTGATGGGGGGGTTGATGTCGCCCACAAGGCAGGAACCAGGGTAAGGGGCAGAGTCTGAGACAGAGGAAGGTGCACCAGATCCGGCAGAAGTAGAAGAGACGGTTCAGCTGACAGATGGCTCAGCAGACTCCTTGCCTTTCCCTGCCCCACTTGTCTACGAGAACCAGGAGGGGCTTGAAGCGGGAAGAGCAGTGGTGCCTTCCGTGCAGGAGGTCTCAGGTTATGGGTGCACAACCCATCAGGGTCTCTCTGTTGCTGCAACTGCTCCGCACAGCCTAGACCTGTGGACAGCTGCCCAGAGGCTGGAAGATATTAGAAGATAGCTACCAAATCTCCTCTCAGTCTCCTCTTACCCAGGCTAAACATACCCAACTTCCTCAGCCGTTCATCATAAGGCTTGGTTTCCAGACCCTTGATCTTCCTGATGCTCCTCCTTTGCACATGTCCCAGCTTCCTTCTCAAATTGTGGCTCCCAGAACTGGACACAGTAGTCCAGGTGGAGTCTGACCAAGGCAGAGGTACTATTACTCCAGGTGGGGTAATACTCCCTTGATCTAGACACTAGGCAGCTGCTGATGCAACCTAGAATCTCAGGACCTTTTTTTTTTACTGCTGCATCCCACTGTAGATCCTTTCCCCATGTGCTATCGGCAAGCCAGGTTTTCCCCATCTTATATTTGTGCAGCTGGTTCTTGCTGCCTAAGTGCAGAACCTGACATTCGTCCCTATTGAAATTCATTTTCTTTGTTTGGGCCCAGTTCTCCAATCTGTCAAGGTCGTCTTGACTCCTGATTCTGTCCTCCGTGTAACAGTTCCCATGGTGAGAAAGTTTCAGCCTCTCTTGTTGCAGAGCCTATTGTAAAAGAACAAAATCATAGAATTGTAGAGTTGGCATGGATCCTGAGGGTCATCTACTCTCATCCTCTGCAGTGCAAGAATCTCAGTCCCCCATCCAATTGGAAACCATACTGTACCCTCCTTAATGTGTTTCAGTTTTACTGCTGCACCACTAGGAGAACTCTGCAATGATTGTTATTATGCATTGCTGAGGTTTTGTTATATGGAGGAAGCTGAGGTTACCTGGGAGCTCCTTAGGGGCGTCTTACCCATAGAAGCTAGTGGCGTGGGGCGCCAGTACGCCAGGTTCTGGAGGGCGCCAGGGAAGAGGCGGAGGCTGGACTTTATCTTATAAAAGGTAAAGAGTTCAAAAGCTTGCTTACAATTTTGTGACATTTTGGTTGGGCAAATAAAGGCCTTGCTTGCTCTAATGCGGATTTTGAAAATTTTCTTGTTGATTTTGCTTTTTGATGATAAATTTATCCTTAGCATTTAATGTGCCACAGGGAAAGTAATTTTTGCTGCAAAATACTAACACGCTACCCCTCTGAAAATTGTCACAAAATTGCTACCTTGTTATTAGGGGACGCGGGTGGCGCTGTGGGTAAAAAGCCTCAGCGCCTAGGGCTTGCCGATCAAAAGGTCGGCGGTTTGAATCCCCGCGGCGGGGTGCGCTCCCGTTGTTCGGTCCCAGCGCCTGCCAACCTAGCAGTTCGAAAGCACCCCCGGGTGCAAGTAGATAAATAGGGACCGCTTACTAGCGGGAAGGTAAACGGCGTTTCTGTGTGCTGCGCTGGCTCGCCAGAGCAGCGATGTCACGCTGGCCACGTGACCCGGAAGTGTCTCAGGACAGCGCTGGCCCCCGGCCTATAGAGATGGGTGCACAACCCTAGAGTCTGTCAAGACTGGCCCGTACGGGCAGGGGTACCTTTACCTTACCTTGTTATTTGGCTTGTTGAGAATGTCTTTTTCTTTTTAAGGAGAATTCCAAAACGATGGTTCCGCCCAGTTTATTTATATCAGCATAGTTTGTAACGAAGGTTTGCATTCAGTTTAAACATATTGGCAGACCGCCTTGCAAAAAGATGGGAATTAGGAAGAGAAGAATAAGAACTGTTTAATAGCTGGAAGCAGTGCTTTTTTTCTGGGGGGATGCAGGGGAACGCATACCCCACTGCCAGATTTACATATAAGCTAAGCAAGCTATAGCTTAGGGCCCCAATCTCTTGGGGGGGAATTAAAGGGGGGAAACTGGATGTACATTTCCAAAATATAAGATAAAAAACAAATAAAATAAAATAAAATAAATAAAACCTACATACAGCAACAGTGTTTTGTGTTGTGTAGGCTCCTATTTGTTATGTGCAAATGACTTTAGATACCTATTAGGTCCATAAATTACCATATGGCATATATTCAACACATGAAACAGCAGCAATTTGTTGTTGACAGAGGACAGCTGGACATATAAAGGGCCCCATTACCTTCAGTAGCTTAGGGCCTCATCAAACCTAAATCCGGCCCTGTGCATACTCCTAAACAGTTTGTGAATCATTGCACTTTTGTCCATTTACTCTATTTATTTTTCCTAATTTGAACTATAAAATGGTAATTTTCTTGAGTCAAAATGAGAGTACCCCTAAATATTACAGTGGTACCTTGGGTTATGAACTTAATTCGTTCTGGAGGTCCATTCTTAGCCTGAAACTCTTCTTTACCTGAGGTGCACCTTTGCTAATGGGGTTTCCCGCTGACACCATGCCACCACTGCATGATTTCTGTTTTCATCCTGGGAGAAAGTTTGCAACCCAGAGCAACTACTTCCAGGTACCTTGGGTTACAGACGCTTCAGGTTACAGACTCCGCTAACCCAGAAAGAGTACCTCAGGTTAAGAACTTTGCTTCAGCATGAGAACGGAAATCATGCAGCGGCAGCGGGAGGCCCCATTAGCTAAAGTGGTGCCTCAGGTTAAGAACAGTTTCAGGTTAAGAACGGACCTCCAGAACCAATTAAGTTCTTAACCCGAGGTACCATTGTATTTTATTTTTTTTAGAAAAGAAAGCACTGGCTGGAAGGGATTCCTTTCTCTCTGTTTCAGACAGCCCTTGATTTACTTTGCAAAATGTTCCCTCTGCGGTTTTTGACAAGGGTGGGACATGAGTGCCCTCCCTGTGAGAAGCAGATTACAAAGACTGCGTCGCAGACCTAAATACAGACAATGTATTTCAGAACAGGAATGTCTGGTCACTATATCAAATTTGCAGGGTGCTGCAGAGGTCTGCCCTGCTTTGGGTGCAGCCTTTTTATCTAAACCAATAGAAATGCAACTCATGCTCCTCTGCTCATTGGTCTTTACATGGGGGGGGGGGGAGAGAGAAACAGAAAGGAGGAGGAGGAGGAGGAGGAGATATAAGAAAGTGACTTTTCTGCCAAGGATGAATGAAACAGAAGCAGCAGCTGTTGCTGCTTTTCAGAAACTTCCAGCGAGATGCCCTTTCCAAGCAGCTCTTCCAGGACCCAGCGCCACAAACTGATATTGGCAGGGACCATGGTTGTTTTAGTTGTCTTAGTGAGCGCTGTGTTGCTTGCTGTGTTCATACCTGGAAGGAAAGGAACCCCTGGCTCAGAGGTATTGCAGTGGAAAGGCCAAGGGACCACTAAACAGCTGCAGGAAATCGTCTTGGGGAGATGTCACAACTACATTGCCATAGTGAATCCTGAGCTCAGGTGAGTGCTAAGAATACACTTTTGAAGAATGAAAGCAGCAGTGCACAGTGTAGACAAAGAAGGAGCAGCAGGGAAACTGGACGGCAGCTATTCTAGAGAAAAATGTATAGGCTGAGATCTGAAGCTGTTCATTTCCTCCCCAAAGTGCTAAAAAGCTGGATTGAAAACTAGCTGAACAGTTCCTGAATTGGAATTGTTCAGGGCTTTTATATCTCTCTTATATGCATGATAATAAGGAGCTTGGGTTTCTCCAGCATGCAGTGATTTGGGAAAGTTCCACCTTTTGAATTCTGGCCTGTTACACAGCTGCTAAAAGTGTAAGAATTGCACAAGCAAAGATGGTATTTAGAAGTGGGTATTTTAAATGAAAGCAGGGGAGGGTTTCCTGTATGTATGAGTAAGTAGATTGGATGGGTCAGAAATGTAATTTTTTTTAGCAATACTTACAGTGTTCACAGTTTTTGAAGTGCTTAATGTACATCAGCTCAGAAATCCATACAATGGCATTGTGAGGTAGGTTAATGTTATTGGAGATGGCGTGTCTAAAGAATACTGACTTGATCAAGGCCATTTAGTGACAGAAATGACATTTTAACTTGGGGGCTTCTCGTTCCTGGTTCGAGGCTCCCAGTACAGTTCTACCCATATTTCTCCAGAACTTAATCCAACTCCATTTAGTTGAAATAGCTGCCAGGTAAGTATGAACCGAATTACGGCCTGGTAGTACAATTCTATGTGTGGTTTACTCAGAAACAAGGGCTACTAAATTCAATGAAATCAGTACATTGGGTTTAGGGCTGCAGTCTTTGACTTTTAAATAAGAGCCAGGGGGAAAGTGTTGAAATCACCAAATACATGAGAAAAGATGTGGTTGATTAGGACTCAAATCACAATATTTTCATTATCTTACTAGCTTTGGTGCTCAGAGGCATGTTGTAAAAACTTGTCAACAGAAAAACTTATTGAACCTTATCAGTACAGTATCTTGTAATAGCATTTGTTGAACCTTATCACAATGTTGCAATGAGGAAATAATACTGTCTCTGTCTAGAGGGAGAGGTTGGTGCAAAACAGACTTTGGCCATAAGAGGAATGTTTGGCATCTGCTACCAAAAGACCTGTTGAGATATTCACCAGAAGGCTCACTTTTCATCTGCTCAGCCTTTATCTGGGTAAATGTTGGGAGCCAGGCAGAGGGCCTTCTCGGTAGTGGCGCCCACCTTGTGGAACGCTCAAGAAAATAAACAACTACCTGACTTTTAGAATACATCTGAAAGCAGTCCTGTTTAGGGAAGTTTTTAATGTTTGATCTTTTATCGTGTTTTTAATATTCTGTTGGGAGCTGCCCATAGTAGCTGGGGAATCCCAGCCAGATGAGCAGGGTAAAAACAATAAATTGTTGTTGTTGTTGTTGTAGCGGCTTCAAATTTGATAAAATTCATACATATAATATGTGCAGTGCACTTACATTTGTACATAAAATATAATGGTTGCTGTGTGTAAATTATGGATTACATTTACACATATACCTCTATACATCAGAAAATTGCCCAAGACCATATGCAAAGTAGGCTTGTATATTGTTGTTGTTTGAAGCAATCCATGTTCAAGTTGCATGCATGTGCATTCAGCCCATGATCATCCACATATAGGATGCATACTCTTTCTACATGGAAATGGTTTGCAAAATGTGTCTCCCCTCCTCCTTTCCTGTGTGGCATCATGTAGACCTCCTTCTCCCCAATTTTAGTATATGTGCTGCCAAAGCAAGCACCCTTCTCCCCAATTTTGAAAAAAACAGTGATTAGCTTTTATTTGCTCAGAAACCAAAACTGCCTAGTCATCATACTTTGAGTTGAGTAGGTTGGCAAGCTGCCATCTCCTGTGGTATTTTGGCTTTAGCGGTAATTGGCTTCTGTGGTATTTTGACTTCTTGGACCTCTTTAGCGGATAGTCAGCTATCTGGGTTATGTACCTACTCTCTGCTTCTGATATGTTGTGATCTGATCTGAACTGGTCCTTGAATAGGTTCTCTGTGGAGCTCTGTAAGCTTTGAGTAGAGCGTTACAGAAGACGTGTCCGTCTGCTCTTTGAGTGGGTAGTCATTTCTCAGAAGAGCACTGTGATACCTCAAAGCATTTCCTCTGATCCCGTAAACTCCCCTCTCTTCTTTTACCACAGGAAGTGGGTCAGATTATTTTTAATACAGTTAATCTAGCCTCTGTAGAGATTATGTGTGAGGGTCACACACAATCCCCTTGTCACTATCTTAAAGACACAAATCTTTAGTTGCCTGATTTTAGGCTGCCATGAAACCTCTAATCTCTATTTTTTGAGTGGTGGGGAGAATGAGTCTAAAACATCTTACAAAATAACTCCCTTTTATCTTCCTTAGGAGCATGAACTCCACTGAAGTGTGAGAAGGGCTGAGGAATTTATCCTGTAGGATTGAAAAGTGAAATCAAATGTGTTTAAGGAAATTGGAGTTTGCAGGCAGTTAAAGTGAAAGATAATGAAAAGAAAGAAAGAAAATGCAACCTATTATTCTGCTTTCTAACCAGGAGGGAGAAAAATGTAAAAAGAAAAATAGTTCCAGGTTCGTTCTGCTTTCTGGCCGGGAGGAAGTTCGTCTGTGACTTCCTGGGCACTGTAGTCCTTCAACCCCTCTAGCTCCATCTGAAGTTGTCTCTCTGGTGCACCAAGAAGAATTCTATGTCTTCATCACTTCTGTGACTTTATGTAATAACATTTCAGTAGGATTTTTTCTTCCTTCTTGTCAACTGAACCTTTTTATGATGTCTCTACCTCTATAGTATATTGTGCATTTCAAACATTCAACTGTACTAAGGTCAAGCAAGCTTACCTTATCTCGAGAGCTGTCACATGGAAGATGGGGCAAGGTTGTTTTTTCCTGCTCTGGAGACTAGGACCCGAACTAGTAGATTAAAGTCACAAGTCAGGAGATTCCGCCTAAGCATTCGGGGGGAACTTTCTGACAGTAAGAGCTGTTTGACAGTGGAACAGTCTCAGGAGGTTGTGGACTCTCCTTTGCTGGAGGTTTTTAAGCAGAGATTGGGTGCATCTGTCACGGATTCTTTAGCTGAGATTTCTGCATTGTAGGGGTTGGACTAGATGACCCTTGGGATCCCTTCTTACTGGACAATACGGTTCTAGGAAAGAAGTCTCCCTATCGTAGAGCCCTCCAGATGTTGTTGGATTCCAACTCCAGCAGCTCCCCTCATCCATCATTACTGATTAGGCTGTCTGGGACAACAACATTGAAAGGGCTAAAGCTCTATCATCCTTTTCTGAAGGAAGATAATGATGAAAAGCTGTCTGCCAGAAAAGATAGTTTGCCATTTACCTCTTCTCTTCTCATCAAGGAACCTGATAAGCTTCCACAGCGCCATCCGCGTCTTCCAGGTATTACCTTACTCATATAGATAGGCTTTGCACCCCACCTTGTATCTTGCACCCGAACGTCCCTTTTGCACTATGTCCCTCCCCCTTACCTTGTAAATTGACAAACCTGTGAAAAATAAGACCCCCCACAACTGCGACTGTATAAAATTCTGAACTTACCTTTGGGCAGGGTTCCTCATGCCTTTTGTCACCTTTGTGTAGGGAACCCGGTTGCAACTGAATAAAGGATTTGTGCTTTTAAAAAGCCACATGATTCTTTCTCTCCATGGTTGGACATCACCCGTCTTCTCCTCCAACCGTAGCGGAGCCCTTTGGGACCCCAAACCCAAATTCTGAGTGTTTTACATCAGAATCAAGAACTAGGATTCTTGCCTCTGCTTTGAATTCAGTAGGTGAATTCTTAAGCTCCTCACCCATCACTGCCTCAGCCTTTTCATATGGAGATGATGGCAATGCTGACTTATTTCACAGGATTGTTTTCAAGGATTTAAAGAAGGGGGGGATGCATGTGAATTGCTTTGAAAATTTGAAAATAAATGCTAAATTCTACACACTAACAAGATGCCTATTTTTGGAAATTTCTTCAATCCAGCATGAAAACTCCTACAAACAGTCCAGCTTATTCATCTTGGCAGGAAATGGTTTTCTCTAAAGAGCTCTGATCACAAAGTAGGTTCTTCTGAACATCAGTATCATGATTTTGTTCTATTTTTAATGTGCAATCTTCTTCTTTGGTAATCACTCATAGCCAAGTATGATTGTCTTCCATGAACACGGTCTTAACAGTGAGTCCGTAAGTCACGGTGGAGGCCAATTCTGGATCCACAAGTCCTTCCACAGTGGGGACATAGGTTTCCAGGCAGGAGTTGATCACGGTGAGGTTTTGCCAAATGTGCCTTCTTCTTAGCTCCTTTCTCCTTTTTGCCCTGAGTTTGTGCGTCCCTGATACCTTTGGTAATGGCTATTCTCCAATTGGAGCACTCGCAGGCCAGTGTTTCCCAGTTATCGGTGCTTATACTACATTTCTAAAGATTTGCCTTGAGAGTATCTTTTTTCTTTTCTTGAGAGTGTCTTTATTTTATTTTTTTAAAAATAAATTTTTATTGGGTTTTCATATACATATTCAATATTGTTAACATAAAAAAAGAAATAGAAAAAGAAAAAAGAAAAAATAAAACATTCCATTTTTCAAATCGTTTTTGTACATCTAACTGGACTTCCTCACATCTTCCGAACCCAGCGTTTTTTGCAATAACAACATCAGCAATTTGTTACCTTATTTCATATCTTACTGTATCTTTCAATATTATGTTTCTAGACTCAAAATGTTGTTTCTCAATTATTTGTACCCTAAAATAAACATAATGAAATTGTTTCAAATCTCCACCTTGTCTTTCTTATAACTTAATTTCCAATTCACTAAATCAGTTTGCTGAAGCTATAATTTCCAAATCATGCACATTTTTAACATTCATACAATTTATAATGTTTCTGCAAATAGTCCTTAAATTTTTTCCAGTCCTCTTCCATTGTTTCCTCTCCCAGATCTCGGATTCTGCCAGTCATTTCAGCCAGTT